GTGACCAAGATTACAGATATCTGGATCCAACTGATAATCTTAACGTTAATCAATACAGATCTAGTATTTTCAAAATCATCGTCCATGGAATTCGAACTCTAGATCTGCCACTTGGGGGTGTAGCAACCCCACTACTTCACTAGGTCACCACACCCTAGTGCTCTATGAAAATACAAATTAACAATAGTACTATTTATTATACTTTTCAAGCCCAAATCAAACTTTGGCCTTGCTTCTTTAAAACAAAACTTTTAGTAATTCTATTAGCTATTTGCACAGTTTTTTAAAACTTTATTATCTATATTTATACTAATTTCTAATTAATTATTTTTAAATACAACAGCCTTTTGTATTCTACAATATTTTACAATACTTGCAAATTATTCAAATACTCCTTACTAGTCTATCTAAAACACACTTTTTTCAAACCTTTTATTTTTTTTTAATTTTTTAATTACTTTCTATAAAGCTCTTATATACTAAAACAATAAATTTAATAATAAAGCTAATAAACTTGCTCTAATACACTGCTTTTTATTCTTATAATATTTATAATTTATTATTTGTTCTAATTTTTAATAATTATTTTTTAAAGCTTCTTATTTACTATAATATTGAAACTATCTATAATATAAATATTTTTGCACAATAGTTTTTTTAATATTATTTTTTATAATAATCTAGCTTTTTACAAGATATTCATTAGGATACTACCTGCTTTATCTTAATAATAATCAGAAAATTTTAAACTTTTTTTATAGTATTTAATTATTTGTACTTATAACATTTAAAGTAAAATTATTACTTAATAATCTTCTATCTCTATATTCTTTACAAAAGATATTTCTTATATCCTAACTCCTACTACTATTGTCAACAACCTACCTATACACTCTATTGAACTATTTGCCCTTTTTTAAAGTCTTTTTTAACTCTATTTAGTATTTCTTTATAGTATATTTTAACTTCTAGTAAACTTCAAATCTTACAAACTCAAATATCTCACCTTCTTAACCAAATTAAAAATCTCAATAATCTACAAATTCACTCTTTTACATTTAAACTATTCTTGTTTTCTATACTTTCTGGTCTGGTTTACTTAATATTATTAATATATACTATAAATATATCTCTTTTATACATGCTATGAAAATAGGTTTTCAAAAATAGCCTATTTCATCTTTATTAGAGCAAATTAAATTTTTTTATAAAAAAAAGCAAATCTAATTTATATAATTATATTTCTTATAATTTTGTTTATTTAAAAAAATATTAAAAAATTTCATCTTTTAAGTAAAGATAAATCAAAACAATTTCATCTTCAATTTTAATTTCAGGTTTTAAAGCCTAAAATAATTTCATTCTCATTTATAACCTTTTCTAACAAAACTGCCTATTTTCTTACTATCTAATTCTTATTTTATTTAACCTAACAAATCTATTCAAATATCTAGATTCCCTACTATATTTCAAGATCACAATTTAATTTCACTCCAAATACATATATTAATAATATTGCTTCTAATCTTCCTCTTTTATCTAATCTAAATTTAATCTTTTCTTCTAAAAATTTTTCTAATTCTTTTATATCTAATACTTTCTACAAAATCAAGACATAGTACTCAGACTGAATCAAATTTTCTTTACACCTCTCTATTATTTTTACTTATTCCCAAATCTAAGTAAATCTTGGCTACTCTGGTAGGTTTAAGCCACAGATAAGTATTTAGGTTTACTTAGATATATATCTGAGTTCTTTTTTTTAGTTTTAGATTTAAAAAATAAACCTTTTTTCTAACTATGTAAGCAGTTTTTGTTAAATCTAATAAAGATAAGAGCAAAGTCTCACCTTTAACATTAAAAAATAAAAATAAAAAAATAAAATATTTACATAAAAGTGCAAATATCTCTCTCTACTTTTTATTGCTTGAGGTTTATATACTTATATCAAGGGTATATAATTGATATATATTTGTAGGTAATACTAAGTATTGTTTTGTAGATGGAAATCTATCAGGAATAGTATGAATATGTACATAGCTTAGAAGAGACGTGACACACAATAGTTTTTCTCCATACAGCGCATTTCTCAAAACAACGCATGGTTCTTTTCAAGCAATACTTTCAGAGATGACATTCTTTTGCAAAATTTCTCCTCCTTTAGGCAATAGTCTCTTTCAAGAAGTGGTTATTCTCCAAACAATGGTTTTTCTCTAAGCAATGGCTCAAAAGGTAAAGACAACAAGACAACAATTAAAAAAAGAAACAAACAGATATATTCATACATTGCAATGAGAACCTAATTCAAAAGTCCGCTAGTTATACAATATATAAATTGTTCATAGATATTATGGATCACCTCACCTTTTAGTCAAAGTTTCCAATTGCAATTTAACAGTCTAATAAATTTAAACAATTTATTCAAAAATTTATTCGCGGTTTTTATTTTCAAATTAAAAAAATTTTGTTCAAATTTAGGAATGAAAAGTTGGATTGTGCTACTGTATAGATATGTAGAATTCAACACTCAAATTCAATTTTATTTAATTTTTGTTATTTACAATATATAATTAATGAAAACAATATACACATTAGTACTGCTCCGCCTTAATGCACCAAAATTAGAATTATGCAATTATCGATAAGCTTCAAAAAAGTATATAATGATAAATTTAAACAAAAATTTAAAATCTTTTTATGTTCACACGTTGATTCCTTTTCGGCATAAGGTATTTATCATCAATGGTACCATCTCGTGGGACGTAGGAAATACCTTCGTCCATCATTATTTCTTCAACCCAGTCTGGAAGTTCTCCTCTAACTCCAACAGCATAAGTACCTGGTACATACCGTGCTACAGTATAAATAATAAATTATAATAAGGCTTTAATATTAGCATATGAATATTTACTAAGGAGAAATAACAATCCTTACTAAGTTCTTTGGCTTTAGAAATGAATGAGTTGGCGCGAGGCTTCATAAGAGCAATAATTCTGTAATTATACACACTTTTTAGCGAATTCATTAATGAATGATGATAATTTGACGATATACACTCTTACCCATTATAATCAGTACTTGTGCATTCCTTGATTTTATCGGGATGACCACAAAGCCTAAGAAAACTTTCACAATTATCGCATCCTTCTCTTTTAAACTGATCATAAGTCTAAATAAAAAAAAATATGCCTGATTTTAGAAATTCATGGAATAGCGAAAATAGAGATCAATAAAAGTACCTTGATTAGCGAACAAACAAGACAAGCACGAGCTCTTTTTAAAGAGTCGGGAACGCTTGCACATTCATCAATGTCTCTCCCCATGGAAACGATATATTGAATTATAAAATAATAGAAAGATAATAAAGAACAAAAAAAAAAAGGGAAAAAATTATATAATGTTGTAATATTATTTTTAATTAGATATGGTAATATCTCTGATTTGTTTTTTTTTTGAATGATTATTAATAATAATAAGTCACTCTTTCGTCAGAGTTTGGCACTACATCATCATTGCTTCACTATGCAGAAATTAGTCTAGTCTTCGAATATAAATTTGACGACTTACCACTTTTAAACAGTCTTTCACTTTCTAATATGTTAAAGATCATTTTTCAATGATCTTGCACGGAATGTATTATGTTAAGAATTGTTAATCACTAGATTTAGAATTTGAATAGGGTTAAATAAGCATATTTTCACATTAAGTGATATGAATTTTAAGCAGCCTAAAACTTCCATTCAAAAATTAATAACAACCAATCTCTGTAAATCCTATATATTCTAAATAATTGTAATTTATATCGATATTAGATTTATAATCTTCAATTTTACTATTTTATACTTTCCTAAATTGAAATTTTTAATCTTTGAAGATAATTTACTTGATTAAATTCTAATAAAAATTTTTTAATTATAGTTTACGAATTTAAATAATTGAGTTAGAAGTTAAAAATATATATATATATACTATAAATATATTATTAAAACAGAGATTGTATTAAAATTTTCTAAGCTAAGTAAAAGCTAAGTAAAAATATCTTGGTAATTATCTAATAAAAATTTTTAAGCTTAAAGATTTGTGATAACACAAAACAAAAAGGAATCTAATTTTACACGTAAAAATAGAAGGGGCATTGCATAGAGACTATAGTGATAAATGTTACTTATATGTAAGATTTCGTCCCCATCCGGTGTTGGGCTGGACATTTGGACATGGACATTGGACAACGCTTGTCTAGTCCAGTCCAATCTATTGGACCAAAAAGTATTGGACAATAATATATAAATCAACATATAATTATTATTAGACATTTGGACTAGACATATGTCCAAGTCCAATATCCAATCCAGTCCAATAGCATAAAAATAGTTGGATATATGTCCAGTGTCAACACTGTCCCTATCATTTTTAATTAGTAACCAAAGTCTATTAAACACTAGTTTATGCGGAATTCATTCAAAATTTTGAACTTACTGATTTACTGTTTTTTTCTTAAAAGTTTGTATCAAAAGTGATTACTTTTTGATTGGCTACTTATTAACATTACCATATCTAATATCAGATATAATGATATTATACATATGCAGATCTGTTATATAATGCTTGTTTACATTTTTATGTACATATATAAAAGGATCTTTTTTACAACCCACTTACAAATTTAAATAGCTAAATTACTTTACAACCTATTTTAAGTGATTGGTATTCAAATTTTAACCTTTGTTTTGGTGCTTTAATATTTATATAGACATATATATACCATACAAATTACAAATCTTTAAAATCCTATTTGGGCTATCATAATCTCAAAATCTGGTCAAATCCCAAACTTCATTCCAAATCTCAAATCCTATCCCAAATTCCAAATCTAAATCCCAAGTTTTTGAATTTAAAATCTCAATTCAAATTTTATGCTAGGATGTACCTTGTGTAAAATAAACCTAGTGTATATTTAGCATATTGATATTTCATGCAAAATTATAGTTATATCATAAATATCATGCAAGTTATCTAAAATAACATTTTAGAACATTATCCCTTAATATGTAGACCAATGCAGACAAATTTGCCTGTCTTTTTGCACTTTTTTAGCTCTGATTTATTTTTTTAAAATGCCAAAAAATTTAAATAAAACTTTGCACAATTATATTTGAAAATAATAATTACTTTTTTGCAAAATTAGTTTTTATAATATAAGAAAAAAGTTTAGATTGCTTATAAGCTAAAAATAAACAAGTTTAGAAAAATTCTTTAATCAAAAAAATTATTTATAAATTCTTAATGAACTCTTTAAAATATTAATTTTAAATATAGGATTTTATAATTTATCGCCATGGCAACGTATCGCCACCCCTGATCAACCAATTAGAGTGCAGGATCAGGTGTAATGTGAAATCGAAGCAATTACGATTTTTT